CACACACACACACACACACACACACACACACACACACACAGAGTCATATTTTCTACATCAGTCCAATTCTTTTGTTCAGCACTGAAGCAGGTTATGGTGAAACAAGCTTATAAATTTTCCACAGGAAATTTTAACTGGAAAAATGTAAATAATTACTGCAAAGGCTGTATATTTGATTTTTTACCTCTACGGTAAGAAAAATAAATAAAATAGAGCCCTTTGTTAAAAAAACATTGAGAAAATTTCTTGCCACTTGCTAAAGATCTCCAAATCCGAATCACATGCAAATCCACTTAAATTCAAGTGCAATGTAACAAATAACAGGTTTCAATATTCTCATTTGGGTCTCTAAAAAGACTACATATACCACTGTGAAATGCGTGACTTTTTATAAGAGAAAAAATTCTATACACCTAGTTCCTTTCTCTTTAGGTTTTCCTATTGATAATGTACTTTAAAAACGATACTAATTAAATATACATTATTCTCCAAAAGATGATAGTGTTATTCAATATTAAGCCTTTCTTATTAAGTAAAACTTAATAGATATTTAGAAATGGATAAACGCTCACACTCAGCTGGAGAATCAAACATTTGTAGTTGATTAACTGCCAAGAGGAAATTCAATTTCTTCTGAGTAACTTTAATTACTTCAAAGAATATACATGAACATCTTTCCACAACAGATTCCTTCCCTGATACAGTTAAATGCAAATTGTCTTTTCCCAGTCTTACTCCAGAAAGCTCCTGCATACATAGCTGATACGCCACCTACTGCAAAGCTGAGCTGACAGAGCAGGCGGTGCTGCCAGCATTTCCATTCCACCACCAGGCTGGAGCTGAATAAAGGCGTGTTTGTGTGGCAGGGTTTCTTTTCTAAAAATCTCAAGGCCAAGAAGAACAAGCTGAAATAGCATCTGCAGAAATGGAGCGTAAAATAAACAGGAGAGAAAAAGAAAAGGAATATGAAGGGAAGCACAATAGCCTGGACGATGCTGACCAGGGAAAGAGCTGCAAATCCCCACTGATGACCCTCAACGTGGGAGGCTATCTGTACCTTACTCAGAAGCAGACCCTGACCAAGTACCCAGACACTTTCCTTGAAGGGATAGTCAATGGGAAAATCCTCTGCCCGTCTGATGCTGATGGTCATTATTTCATAGACAGGGATGGGCTCCTGTTCAGGCATGTCCTAAACTTCCTACGAAATGGAGAACTTCTGCTGCCCGAAGGGTTTTGAGAAAATCAACTTCTCGCACAAGAAGCAGAATTCTTCCAGCTCAAGGGACTGGCGGAGGAAGTGAAATCCAGGTGGGAGAAAGAACAGCTAACACCCAGGGAGACCACTTTCTTGGAAATAACAGATAACCACGATCGCTCGCAAGGACTGAGAATCTTCTGTAATGCTCCGGATTTCATATCAAAAATCAAATCGCGCATTGTCCTGGTATCCAAAAGCAGGCTGGATGGATTTCCGGAGGAGTTTTCCATATCGTCAAATATCATTCAATTTAAATACTTCATAAAGTCTGAAAATGGCACTCGACTGGTACTAAAGGAAGACAACACCTTTGTCTGCACCTTGGAAACTCTTAAGTTTGAGGCTATCATGATGGCATTAAAGTGTGGTTTTCGGCTGCTGACCAGCCTGGACTGCTCCAAAGGGTCAATTGTTCACAGCGATGCCCTTCATTTTATCAAGTGATTACCTGGGTCACAAACAAAGACGGGAGCACGCAGCCAGCAAGCTTCGGGAAAGCACAGCATCAAAGGCATCCCAAGTAACTGCCCAGCCAGCTCTGTACTCAGAGCCCTGCTGCTGCTCAATTACTGTGAGCTGACGGTATGTAAATTCTATTGCTCAAGGTGTCCTTCTCCAGGGTTTCCTGCTGATCGGACTCTTATGCTCAAAAGGAAAACAGTGATCTTCTATTTACTGTAAATAAAGACTGAATGCTTTTGCTATTTGTTTATTTTTCCTTAAGCTGTCTTTCAATAAGAATGTCTTGGGGACTTCCAAAATAAACAAGCATGTACATTACCTTTCATGTTCAGTAAATGGTAATAAAATATTTTAAGGGGTTATAAGATTTAAAATCCTTTCTACCTATGGCAAAAATCTACAAAGAAACTGAACTGGTAAAATTAACCATTGAGAGCTGAACAGATGTGCAGATCTACTATAACAGAGCACAGTGAAACCAAATGAGACTGTAAGAAGGTATTAAAGCTATTGATGTAATTTTTAATGGTAGGCACCAAAAGCTTATTCATAGTTTCTGTAACCGCATACTAGAATTATAACTGAATTGATATACTGCTGAACATTCCTAGAAAACTGCCTGATGAAAATAAAAAAATAAAAATAAAAGCACTACTAGCTTCTTTGCTTGCATCAATAATTCAATAAAAAGTTACGTGTGTCACTTTTAAAACAAATATACCACTTGATGATTTCACACATTATTATGCATTGACGAAGTCACTGGCAGGCTACAGTAACCCTGGCTGTTCTTACAAGTGACAAAAATCAGCGAATTTATTTCTCTGCAGGCTGCACTCCAACACAGCATGGAATTAGAATAATCCAGAGCTCATGTTCACTATCACCCTAAGTATCTATTCATTTTTCAAGCTTAAAAATGTTAAATGAGCATCACTAAACATTATTCTTATGAAAGAACTTCATTGATTCTTTTCAGTACCTATTTGGGTGCTAAATTTCAGACTCATCCAGTTGTGTTTAATTTCTTTGTGCTAAACAAGAAGTTATTTTTTTAAATTAAGTTTTACATGTGGCTGTCTCACTCAGCTTTAAATGTGTGTGCATTTTTTCCTCCCAATGAGCAGCTATTCATTTCTATGCCACTTATTTTCTTTGGATTCTAAGAACAAATTACATCTTAAATTTGCTCCTTTGAAATTTAACCATTAAAACTGGTAACTAAATCTTACTTTTAATAAACTTCAACAAAACATTTCTGAAAATCTTGACTGAGGTTACATAAATTAGCATATATGCCAAAAGTTGGCTCACACATATAAATTTAGAATAAATTAGCAGCAGAGCTGATATTCTCAGAACTACAACTGACTTCCAGCTACAACATCTAATACAAAAGTTGGCTGCACATACTAAAAGAAATATTTTTTAAAATCTATTATACAAGTAAGTCCTTTAAAAAATCCACATTAAAAAACAAAACAGTCCACATCAATTACACAATCTTCTTTTATGTGTAACAAGAAAAAGACTGTTTGTACTAAAACATCAAATTGTCTCTTGTGTACTTGAAAATGGTTTAACCAGGATTTAAAGGAACTATGAAAACAGAAAAAATAGTAAGATCTATTTTAGCAGTTACTATAACTGAACTGTTTATATACGTCTCCAGCTTGTGAGTTGACTTTTCCTTGGCATTTGGACTTGGGTAACTAAAAACACGGTAGTGATTTAATGTCAAATCAAGATTTTCTCTAACTGGATTTCATTACAGATAATAAAAATAGCCCTGATATATCTTTTTACAGGAGATAATTGAACAAATCTCCTTAGAAGTATTATAATTAAGGTTTTTGCATCAATGAGAATTTAACTGTTAGAACAAAATTATTATTGATGGAAACCATTTACTTAAAGAGCCCTGTTATTCATTTTTATGTCTGTCTCTAAAAAAAATCATATTCCTTTTCAAGCTTTTGATAAATCATGACATCCTAAAACAATTTAATAAACTAGAAGTAAATTTGATGATATTGATTACACTTATAACTGTACCTTTTAAAATTCAAAATTACCTACACTTGGATTTACAGTCTAGTGCCTAAATCTGTGTTGTAAGTGTATAAAAAAATCTACTTTTTAATTCTATTATTAATATTTAAAAAAATACTTAGAAATACTTTCCATTCAAAAAACTCAAGAAATCATACAAAATGCCAATTGTAAGTCAGAGTGAAGCTGTCATAATATTTTTGTTTGCACTGAAGAATTTCTTCCTCAAATCTTTCCTCCAAGGAATAGACTTTTTCCTTCTTTCTCAGAAGAAAGGTAAGAAAAGTAGGTTACTATACCTGCCATGAGCCAAACTTATATACTCTTGTATTAGGAATTATGCCATACAGTGATTATGGCACTGTCCTTAAAATATGAAAATAAAACATCGCTTATGGTATACTACATTCTAAAATGTATATGGCAGTACACAGAACAAATGAAACTTATGAGGCTTTTCAAATAATACAAGAAAGACAACTACTATCCCAGATTGAAGATGATACCGATGAACTTGTTATTGTTTTAAAGAAAGTAGTTATACTTCAAATGCTATTTTAAGATGATAATAAAAGGTAACATTTTTTGTTTTATAACATGGCAGATACCATGCTACGAACATACATTATCTCAATGAATCCTCAGGCTGACCCTAAGAAAGGCACTATTATTCTTTCCTTCTTACAGGTGAAGAAACAGGCCCAGAGGGCTAAGAAGCCCGCTAAGAACACACAGTTATTAGGAGGTAAATGGGGGGACCAAGCCTTGAAACGCAGGTAGACTAGTTCCAGAATGAGCAGGGACCATGTCTGCGTCTGCAGGCCCCAGATATCTCTAACACCTAGAACCTGGTATAAAACAGGCATTCACGACGTATGTGCTGATTACAGAACACCCAAATACAGGTTTGCCTCACTTGAAAAAAATCTCACAATGCAGGAACTCTTAAACTGTTGAGTGAAAACCTAGATTTGGGGAAAGCAAATCATATTTTAAATGTCACGTCATGTCACCTAAAGAACATGACCTGAGTCATCTCACTAGGGTAAAGAAAACCCCAGTTCTGTCTGTTGGCTCATCTAGGTTTTCACACACCAGTTTAACTGCCGAGGAGGTTAGCTTCAGGGCTCGTACAGCCCACCTAACTGACACTATGAAGAAAAAACGTGGCACACGGAAACAAACGGGGCTCTGGAGTCTGACCTGGGTTCAAGTTCAATCAACTTCCACTAACTTGCTTACATGCCTGTCAGCAAGATTCTGAGCTTCTTTGAACGTCAACATCCTCCTAGTGAAATGGAGATAATAATGCTTAGTTGATAGAGTTTTCACCAGGGTAGAAATGATACATGATATGAAAAGTGCCTCGCCCACCACTGACTTCCAATAAGCACTGGTTATCATCTTATCCAGTGTAAAGGTATCCTCCTGACATAACCATGAATAACAGGCACAAAAACACACATTTACATTAATTTGACTTTCAATTTAGACATGAACAGAATGGAGAACTTCTAACAAAAGCATGTTTAATACTGTACCATATATTAAAGTTAACACTGTATCTTACTATTCTATAAAAATTGTATATTGTAAAATTCACTAGATGACGGGTATATAGAAAAATAACAGTTAGATATAAAAATGTAACAGCTAACACTGAGGTGTTCAGTGAAGCCAAAGACTATGCATTAAGTCAATTCATTCCCAGTCTACATTCTTCATCACACTAAGATTTTAAATGTGTCTAAAGGATGTAATAAAACATTTTTAAGTAGAATTTTAATTATCTTTATCTTTTATAAAATGAATATGTACCAAAACCATGGTCTTTTTGGTTTAAGGCAGTGGGCAAGAAAATCAGGTGAGAATTTAAAAATCAAAGTAAAAAGAGACATATCAACTCCACCAATGTTAACAATTGTTAATGAAGTAAAACAGCTGAAACCTCTTCTACAAAAATTAATGGTTTCCCAACAAGGGAACAACCACTATTCACCACCTCTTCCCTTCAAAGAAAGCATCTCTGGTTGTTATTCGGAGTTTCAGGAATTAGGATGTTACAAAGGACACTTCCCTGGGAAAGTATATGAATGGGTAGGAGGGAGTAAGAAAAGGTGGGAGGTGCTGGCACCCGGAGCTTTTAGCAGAAAATGCAGGCACTCACTGAGGTGCCCCTGGGCAGCAGTGCAGCGCTAGGTCCTTCCCATGCACTGCCTCCTCCAAGGCGAGCTGCCCAGGCTGCCCGTTATCCTATACGCAGCCTGCTCGTATTTGGTGGGAACTGAACCCTGATTTCGTGTGGCAGCTGTACAAATAAGAACCTGTATTTCCCAGTGTTCTGTGGATGCTAGGTGTGTGGCCCAGTACAAAGTTCTGACCAACGGAATAAAGCAAAACTCACAGGGTGTGATTTGGGCTGTGGTCCTCCTGTAAAGGGTTTCCAAGCCCGGGGACCCTTGGCGTTGCCCTGCCACCTGTCTTGCCGCCTGGGGTGTGTACGTGTGGCTGTGCCTGCAGAAGTCATCCTGCGTCACCGTGAGGATGAAAGCCACAAACTACTAATGATGGCCGACCGCTGCTGAAAACCATGGAGTCGCCATACAGGCCTGACTTATTACCTCGGAATTCCCTTTACACAGAAGAAAAATATGTTTAATTCACTGCTATTTCGGAATGCTTGTCGTCAATCCTAACAGAGAAGTGGGTAGAGCCCCTTTTATAGATGAGGAAATGGACCCACAAAGCAACTTGCAGCCTCCCAAGTGTCAGGCCTTAACCACCGTGTGACATCTCCTTCAGATCAGACACTGAGAACTCAGTGAGCGACTTGGCAGAGGACTCGGGCCTTGAAATCAGGCAGGATGATATTGAGGAAGGTTGGCAGCTCCCCTCATTCGACTAGGTCGAGACCTGGCTTAAAATACTGGAGTACGCCGCAGTTCACGGAGGGGGTCCGCTCAGTCTGGTGAGTTTGAAATGAGAAAAAACTAGGACAGAGAACCCATTTCAAGTAGGCAAAGGAACAACCGCACGAATTTCTGAGATGTGGTCCATTTCTGTACTCTATGCCCCTCCCTTGTGTTGGGGTGAGGGAGGGTGTGAGGGTTGGTGGAGAAGGGCAGGAACTCCCTCGGTTTCCCTGGAGTATCGCGTAATTAGAAATGCTTACATCCAGGGCCGGCCGAGTGGCGTGATGGTTAAGAACTGGCTTGGGATGCCAGAGGGCCCCGGTTCGGATCCCACATACGAGGGCCAGTGACGCTGCCCTCTACAGCTAAGATGCTGAACAACAGCTCAACCTGGAGCTGGGCTGCTGTGAGTCCCTGGCGACGGCGTAGGCTGCATCCTCTGTGGCAGAGGGTTGCCATGGGCTACCGTATGTAGCCAGCAGCCAGCGTGAGTGGCCAGCAGCCGCAGTGAGCAGCCGTCCAGAAGCCGGCGACTGATCTGCCTCGCCCGGGAGGAGCGCAATGATGGTGCCAACTTGGGCCAGTGAAGCAACGTCCTCCACAACTAGACTGAAGAGCAAAATGACAGCAACTTGTCTGTTTTCCTTCCCCCAATTCCCCAGCACTGTTCCCATCCCCCCAATT